TGAGTCCCTTCGGGGAATAGGGCGGCCTACAAATTGAATAAAATCCAAATCCAAATCCAATTTTACGAACTTCAGAAGGATGGAAGGTTGATTCAACCTTGTACCTGGTGAGATTTGAACTGCCAAATTGCAGACAGACAGTAGGCAGCAGAAGTAGCCCGCAGTACTGCACTCTAACCACTTTACCATCTTGGCTCCAAATGAAGAAAAGAAAAAGAGGGTCAAGATTTTACTCTCTTCCCTTCAATTATGTTATTGCTCCTTCTTCTTCATCACATCAGCAACATCAGTGTATCATTTCCAGGCCTCCCTTCCACAGTGAGACTGACCAAAAAAGAAAACAAAAGGCAGCCCACTCAAACACCAGAAGTAGCTTAAGCAACTAAAACCACATGGAGTTCTCCATTGCAAATTCATTGTGTTAAAAAAAAGAAAAAAATGTTAGTGAAATTAAAAATGGGGGAACATAATCTGGTAGTAAGATCAAGTGGTGCAAAGAGTTCTTGTTAAAGCCATCTTGTTAATTTTAGAGGGAAAAAACCACTGTTTTGTTCATTAGCCATTTTTTCCTATTTTATAAGGTTGTGGGGTTTTTTTGTTTGTTTTGTTTTGTGATGAATTCTGTTCCTGGTCGAAATATGGATGATGTCATGATCTTATATTGGTTCACCTTTACAGCTATACCCCTCCCCAGGAGTTCAGTTCTTGCAGTTTACAGGAGTTTCAGAATTTTATCTTGAAGAAAAGCCCACAATGCCTCCTCAACAAACCCACCGGGAAAGATATAATTTCACCTGCAATTTGTGGGAATGACTTCGTGGAGGAGGGAGAGGAATGTGACTGTGGTTCTCCAGAGGTATGTTTCTTTTTCTTTTTTTAATGAACAAGGGTGGTTCCAAAAAGTCTATCAAAAATAGGAATCCTTGCAAAATCATCTGTTTTTCTAACTGGCATGAGCCCTCCAATAGGTTGATTTGTGAATGGCATACGTTTGTGTCCTTTATGTACATATATTATGCAGTGGTTTCCTGGATTTAAGACAGTTATAGAGGAATGGAGAACTGATACCCCACTACTACTTTGGGAAGAATAACATATTTTAAAATATGAGTGATTTATCACTCCAAGAAAATCCTTCCCTACTGAAAACCCCTATTCTATTGAAATGGTCACATTACTTTCTCAACATGGCCACATTATCTATCCCCACTATTTTCTTGAGCTTCTTCTTCCCAGAATGTATTATCCTTAATCTCTGCTTTCAACATGTAGTCCTCAATGGAAACTACATCTACATAGAAGGAAGTGTGCACTGGGGTAGCTCAATGTTCTGTCTTAGGCCCAGTTCTCTTCAACAACTTTATAAATGATCTAGATGAGGGGATAGAAGAGAAACTCATCAATAGCAGCAATAGCAATAGCAGTAGACTTATATACCGCTTCATAGGCCTTTCAGGCCTCTCTAAGCGGTTTACAGAGAGTCAGCATATTGCNTGTATCTCATTTCTCTCCTTCAGCTCCTTCATAGCTGAGTGGTAAGGGATTTATTTACCATGTGCATATCTGTATATATTTGTATATAAACCTCTATTAATTGTATAAAGGTTCTGTGTGTTGTGTGCTCTGTTTTGCTCCTGGGTTTATCTCATAATAAATGCAAAAACTCTGACAGAATGGAGAGGAGAGGAGAGGAGAGCAGAGAAGAGGAGAGCAGAGGAGGAGAGGAGAGCAGAGGAGAGGAGAGGAGAGGAAATGTCAGGTCTTAGGAATTGTCTGTTGCAAAGCACCCAATTACCTTGTGTGCAAGATTTTTGTATAGCCTCAGTGACCATGCCACCTATTGTCAAATTTTTGGTTTCTTCTGCCGAAATTCTAGGACTATGTTGCCTCATATTTTATGCAATGGCAATGAGTTCAGGAAGTATTGAGAATGCTATGTAATGCTATGTAACCTTTCCTGCCTTACTTTTTGTGCGTCATTGTTACTTTTTAATACTTCAAAACCACTTTGTGGTATTTTGTGCAGAAAGCCTTGCATAGAGAACAGTTTGCTCAATAAACCTCATTTAATGGCTCTGGTGCAACTTTGGTCTTAAAAGACCATATTGTGACTTTAGTGGCCCCCAGCAGATCATCTTTGGGTTCTTGCTTTCCCTCTAATTTGAGGGCCAATAATTATGATTTGTAATATTAGGAAGGGGCTTGGGTGGACTTGGCGATAGCATGTTGACATCTCTTTAAGTATGCACTTTCAGAACCCAGTGGCAAGTTGGTGGTATTATGACCTTTTCAGCAAAAGAAGTCTAATAGTATATTAACTCTCCCTTTACCTTAAAATATTCCAAGTGTGTGCCTTGGTAAGGCCACACTTTGAATACGGCATTCAATTTTGTCGCCATGATTTAGAAAAGATGTGGAGACTCTAGAAAGAGTGCAGAGAAGAGCAACAAAGA